TATTCCAAAGAAAAGTACTGTCCTAAAGGATGTTAGGGAGAGAGGAGGGAGGGGGGCTAATGAAATGCATGCATTATGGAAGCAGATGGGATAGAGCGGGACTATTGGGGAAGGAAAGGAGTCTTCTCACACTTCTAGAGGCTGAATTTGGTGGTGGGAGGTTTCTGTTGGTCAAGAAGACATCAACTGTATGTCCTACAGTTTAAGTCAGCTTTCCCACTACTTTAAAAAGCTTCAAGTCCCACAGGTCAAGGGCACAATCTCAAAAGACTAAAAATCCCAGCCTCAAATCCAAGGGCAAATAAGAACGAAGTCTAACAACAAGGATGGAAATGTCACAATGAAACCACATCTTTACATGCTAACCAAAAAATTTCTTAGGAGCAATAGCAACTAGAATTCTTGGTGACATGGTGTATAAACAGCATGTGTGCACACTGCCTGCTGGCACCTAATCAGCAGGAGGCTGTGGATGAAGACAACAAACTCCTCTTCCCTGCGATGGTCCACATCCTCACACTTCTACTCAGCAATTTGGGGGTGAGAGGAATTCCTGTACCTCAAGCCATTCCCCAGGAAGATCAGCTCACGTCTACCATCAAAGTCAGTTCTGACACACTTGGGAGTAGCGTCAGGCCTCCCCGGTAAGAGTGTACCCTAAATGACTCTTTCCTACTTCAGATCTCAGCCTCAAATCCAGGCCTCCAGATTGTAGCTGGGTTTGTTTTGTTTCGTTTTTGTTTTTTTTCACTCTTCGCTCTTTGAGGGGCTACCACCCATTTCCTAAATAAACACACAGTGACTTATTCTTACTTATGAATGCCTGGCCTTAGCTTGGCTTATTTCTCCCCATGCTTTTCTTAACTTAAATTATCACATCTATCTTTGCCTCTGGACTTTTATCTTTCTCTGCCCTACCCTATATCCTTTTCTTGTTGCTCCGTGGCTTACTGTGTAGCAGGGTGACTAGTTCCTTATGTCCTCCTCTCCTCCTTTTCTCACTCCTCGATCTTCTCCTTCTGATTATTCTCTCTGCCTGCCAACCCTGCCTATCATTTCTCCTGTCTCGCTATTGGCCATTCAGCTCTTTTATTAGACCAATAAGGTGTTTTAGACAAAGTAACACAGCTTCAGAGTTAAACAAATACAACACATCTTTGCATCATTAAACAATATTCCACAACTTAAATGAACAGAACACACCTTAAACTAGTATTCCGCAGCACCGGATTCTTTGAACAACTATTTTAAATTAGAAATTGGGTTCCCACCATCTCCTCTCTGGGTTTGACTATTTTCTACAAGGGCTCACAGAGTTTAGAAAAAACAGTTTGCTAACAGTTACTAGTTCCCTACAGAGGAGACAACAAAGGCTACAGATGAATAACCAGGCAGAGGTTGGACACAGAACAAAATACAGAGCAAAGCACTGGAAGCTCCCCTGCTCTCCCTGGCTCATCAGCCTTCTAGCATCCCCATGCACTCAGCCACCTGCTGGTCAACCCTGAACTCCATAGTCCAGGTATTTTTATGGAGGATCCTTCATGAAGACATAATCTTTTATGAACAAAATCCCTAACTCTTCATTTGTTCCTAAAGATGAGAATGTGTCACTGAAAATCCCAATTTGTATTCATGGCTTGGTCTTTTTGTTCATCTGTCCTATCCAGGAGCCCAACAAGAGTCACCTTATTAAAGCATAGATGCTTCTGTCATCCAAGGGATAGATGCTCTGTGTTCATCCCTGGGTGGCAAAGAAGGACTATCAGAACAAGTGCCATTGGTGGATTTAGTGTAGACTCACTCCTATACTAGGAAGTAAGTAGTATTTTAGGGGTTGTCTGCTGGAAGACAAGGGCAGAGACCAGACATTTTAGATCACACTGAGCAAGGAACTGGGGGAAGTGGCAAAACGTGGCATGGGCGTATATTCACAGCTTACCAGCAACAAGTTTCTCATGGGTTATGTGGAAAAGACTGAAGATTAAGGTAAGCATCATGCTTTGGTTTCACAACAAAATAGCAAAATGTCTGCAATTTCTTTATTTATGGTTTTTAAAGATGACCTGAACAACAAGATTATAGTGAGAAAATATAGAGCAAAGTAAGAGAGAGTATCTTGAAATGAATGAAAACAGAGAAAGCCCCACAGAGATAACAAATAGTCACATGGAAACACAAAATAGGACACAAGCTTTCAGAGAGATCACATGCTAACATCACTCCAATGTTAGGTTAAACTCTAAGATTTCTTGTTGGCAATGGGCAGTGAAGGCAAGGGGGGTACTCAATAGTGTTGTCTCATTACAGATGGCAACCAATGTTTAACTGTTATTATAATGTGTCTTTAAAGAAAAAGATTGTCTTATTAAAAAGTTTTCATACATTTTAATCATGTTTTCTCCTCCCCCAACTCCACTCAGATCTTCCTCATCTCCATAGACACCCAAGTTTATGGTTTTTTTACTCTCGTTCTCAAAGGAGAAACAGAGAGAGAGAGAGAGAGAGAGAGAGAGAGAGAGAGAGAGAGAGATCAAAATAAGCAAGCAAAAATCCAAAAGGCCAAAAACTGCTCAAACAAAGCAAAATGAAACAAAAGTTTACAAAAATACTCTTCAGGTTGCTTTCTCGGCCAGCTATTCTTGGACACAGGGCCTTCCCTGAAGTATGCCTAATACACCCACGGAAATTTCATTATAGAATTTTTTTTTGCCAGTGAGAATAAACTAAGATAGCACACACCAGAACCCATCTGGTTTTAGCCTGTGCAGCAGGTCTTGTGCATTCTGCCAGAGTCTGAGGGCCTCTAACTCTGCTTCCCAGGGAGCTACATATGCAAACAAGGGGAGGATATAATTGGCTGAAATTATAATTGTTTGGTTTTCAAAGGCACAGGTTTTGAAGGACTTCTCTGAGAATTTACTAATGTTCATACCGTTTCTGCTGTCTTTGATCATTTTAAACTATCCAGTTTTACAGGCTGAGTTGGTCAAATTAGATAATGTAATGCATAAATCTATTAAATGCTTGTCAACAACTGACAAATGGACTCTTCCTTTAAGAACTGGTAGAGAATTAAGGACACGCCTTGATGCTGTCAACCCTCCCCTCAGAGTTCCTTGAGTTTGGTCAATAGATGCCTGTGGCTCCGCACACCAACTCAAGTCAGGATCAGTGTCCATCCGTACTCCTTACTGGTAAAACTCAAGTCCTCTCTACAAATTAATGAATTAACAGGACCTCTGTCTTTAATGTGCACTGTGATAAGGCAGGCCTGGTTATTCAAATCTGGGATCCCTGCAGGAGTGTTTGAGTACAAGGCCAAACTGAGTGACTGAGCAAGACCCTATCTCAAAACAACAAAAGGAAAAGGGCTGGGGCTGTAGTTTGGTGGTAGAATCCTTGCCTGGCATGTACAAGCAGAACTGGGGAAATACAGTGGGGGCAGGGACGGAGAAAAAAATCAAACAGCAGCATTAGAAATTATGCACCCATCTTATTTCTTTGTATGTGATTTCCAGCATGTCATAAAATGATAAACACTTCTGCCACAGAATGACTTTGGACCCTTCGTTACACTTTAAACAAAGCCTATGTTTCATAAACACATTATGTAGTGAGCACATTTATTCTGTTTCTTTTTTTCTTTTTCTTTTTTTTTTTTTTGGTTTTTTGAGACAGTGTTTCTCTGTATCTTTAGATCCTGTCCTGGAACTAGCTCTTGTAGACCAGGCTGGCCTCAAACTCACAAAGATCCACCTGCCTCTGCCTCCCGAGTGCTGGGATTAAAGGCATGCGCCATCACCGTCCGGCTTTCCATTCTGTTTCTTTATGAGGGGCATCAAAGTTGATTATGATAGTCAAAGCTAGAAGCTAGGGAGACACTTACACTGGACTTCGTGACACTTTTTAGCCAACTCACAAATATTTGCTCCTAGGTGGGACTGGATGCTGCAGACAACAGCCGGCCGTGATTCCGACACACTGCCATCTGACGGCACTTTTACTCTCCATCCTAACAAAGACCGTCAGATCCTGGTAATAGGCACTTCCTTCTCAGTGTTGTTGTTATCAGCCATGTATTATAAGTGATTCTCTACAACATATATCCGGAGCTTACAAATCATACCTAAGACAATATTACAACTCAGCAAAGACTCAGGGGGGTGGAAATCAGTCAGACAGAGAAGGGGCTGAGCAAAAAGTTCACAACTTAATAAATTCTGTGTCTCCTTTAGAGCCCTGTGTGTTGGATATTTGTTGAAATATGTAGTAGAAGCTGTCAGAATATTAGGGAATGGCCATATTTTACAAAGGCATTTACTGGGAAATAGTTCTATAGAGTGAAGTCATTGACCTATGTATTCAGAGACAATACAAGTTTGAAACCAGTATTCAGGTACCATGATTCAGTACCCTGCCACATATAATATCTTCTACCTGCATTGCACTCTGGATTTTACAGCAGGCCTTAGTGTTTATCTCTTAAATAGATGAAGTATGGGAAAATACAGGTGGCAGATTTAGCTAATACAGTTTTAGTCCTTTAGCAAAACCCCCAAGGTTTTCTGAAAAGCATTATATTTTCCTCATTTGTGAATGCATTTTTTACTTGAAAGGCTGTAATGCAATGTTCCCATGAACATGACCAGAGAATTCTTGGTCAAAGGCACAGTTCAGACAATCATGTGGATTGCCTGGGATGATTTTATCCTGATGACCTTCCCTCATTTTTTGTTGTTTTAAGATTTCATTCTTTACATACACACATTCATCCAAGTCTTTATTTTTTTAATCTTTTGTTTAAAAAAGTTATTGTGTATACAATAGTCTCTCTGCGTGTATGCCTACAGGCCAGAAGAGGGCACAAGATCTCATTGCAGATGGTTATGAGCCACCATGTGGTTGCTGGGAATTGAACTCAGGACCTTTGGAAGAGCAGGCAATGCTCTTAACCGCTGAGCCATCTCTCCAGCCCCCCAAGTTTTTTTTAAAAAAAATACCATAAGTGTCATCAAAATCAGAAAGTTGTCTTGTGTTGTTGTAGCCTTACACATTCAAGGCGGGTATGCTACCTGGGGAGCAGCCAGGACAGTACATCGCAGATGTGTCTGGATTGTCAAGGCCTGGAGTGGACTGACCTGACCTGGAGTGGACTGACAAGTGTTTCTCTTGATAATGCTGTATGACAACAGCACATTAGTGCCCCACTCCCCCCAATAAAATGCCCCACAGTACTGCAGTCACCCAACTGGTAATTCTGCAAACCTCCTGCTAAAGCTAAACTCTTTAGTGTGATTTTATCCCCAACTTCCTCTAAATGGATCCCTGTGGGTGATATCATCCACAGTCACAAACTCTCTGCTTTCCTCTTTCTGTTGAGTGCACACTTCTTAAAGTCTGAACTTAACATAACTTCTTTTAAACAATGAAACTGGAAAAACTTTGGGTCACCTGTGAGTGAAGGCACGCAGGTTCGTGTGCATTTCTTTCTGCTCCCTTTTCTGCTGGGTGCTCAGGGAGCTGTCCAAGGATGAAGCAGGCTAGAAAGACAATCATCTAGGCCAGCTTCCCTGGAGTCTGTCCGTGTGTCAGCCACTGAGAGTTTGGTAGCATTTGTTACAGAGGCATAGTTTGCCCTATCGTGAGGGACACAGTCTCTCCCCAGTCGTGTTCCCACGGATCATCCTCTGGGCGACAGCTCACAGCCGCTCACGTTGCTCCGACACCAGTAAGTCACATTCACAGACGAGCTGATGACAGTCACGGTTGAAGACAAAGTCTGGAGGAAATATCAAGGAAGAGCAGCAGGACAATGGCTGAGATGAATCACACTGTGTGCTCCCCACCGCCACTGGGTCCCTAGGTCGCTAGTGCGGGGCTGCCCAATGCAGACCATCATCTTGATCAAACATGGAGAAGTTATCGGTTTTATGAGAAGAAAGACTTTAATTTAGATCACACCAAAGGCTATTGGGAAATTCAGTGGAGATGCATAATAAATATTTGTGATCTGTGAATTCGAGGCCAGTCTGGTCCACATAGTGAGTTCTAGGACAGCTGGGCTATGCAGAGAGATCCTGTCTCAAAAACACCACCCCACCTCCATCCCCCAGCAAACAGAATAGTAATAGCAGCATAAATTTAAATCAAAGTTATTACAGGTGTGATCTGAGAGGTAGTACAGTAACAGAATGCGTGCCTGACACCTAAGAAGTCCCAGATTCAAACCTCAGGACCACGGCCAGAGTTTATTTATCATAACAGAATAACAGAACCTAAAGACTTCAGTGCTTAAGCCACAACTGACACCCTTCCCCCATTTTTTTTTTTCTGACACAGGATTTCTCTGTGTAGTCCTGGCTGTCCTGGAACTCACTCTGTAGACAGAGACTTGGGAAGATGTGAAGGATGTAGCTATGGATTCAGAAGTGATCTCCACACACTTAACAACTAAACTAAAACATGAATTAAATTTTGAGGCAGTTGGTAGAGAGGGGAAGAATTAATCTTAGAAACACCTATATTTGGGGCAGAAAGGAGGGCAAGCAAGGAATGGGGAGTATAATGACACCCCATTCATCTGAGAGCTAAGAATACCAGGCCTTCATTAATAAAGCCATTTACATTTAGATTTCAAGTTTTTTAATGAGGAGGGGAAATGTACAGCTCCTTAACAACCCATTTGCTCACTCCAATATTAAAATAGATTACCCATCCAGCAAGCAGCTGGGCATTATCTGTAATAAAAAGCAAAATGAATTTTTAATTCAGTGTCTGAGAACCAATTCATCACGATTTAAAATAGAAAATGAACTTTTTTAAACAAATGATTTGCTCTGCACTGTGACCAATTCTCATTTATGACACACATCTGCACACCTGCATGTCTGTGTACTGTGGGAATGCCCTCTGTCTGTGGGGTGACTGCCTTACTCCTATATTATCCTGCACCAGACTCCTTCTTCAAGCATGCTTGGACTTCACATCTGCTGTGACTCAGCAGCTAGTTAGCTCACACTTCCTAAGCGCTGGTGTGTTGGGCACTATGCGGGCCCTGGTTTATCCCTCCGGACCTGCAATGAGCTGGGTGTTTATGCTGTGCTGGTTAATATCATCAAACTGACGGGATCTAAAATCACCTAGGAGACAAATCTCAGAGCACAGTTTGTGAGATTGGATTAACCCAGGTAGGAAGACCCATCCTAAACATAGGGAGCACCAAACCATAGGCTGTGGTTTCAGAATGAATAAAAAGGAGAAAGCAAGCTGCCTCACACTCCTGCAGCCACTTCTTCCCTGCCATGATGGAAAATAGACACCCTCCCTCCCCTGAAGTGCATTTGCTGGCCTTTTCTCATAGCAACACGAAGAATAATAAACACCAGTCCCATCTTACAGAGAGTCAGGCAGCCAAAAAGAGCTAGCCAGTGTCAAAGAGTATGCTCTAAGCCTTGTCTTTAACGTGTGTTCCTCAAACTAGCACATCACTTAGGAGTTTGCCAGACACAGAGACTCTTCAGCTCAAGGCTGGATCCACTCACATTCGAATTTGTTCTAAGAAAATCCCCCAGCGAATCCTTCTGAACGAGTGCCGTGCTGAGGTCAACCCCTATAAGGATTTTTAGTGACAGCTGGAGGAGAGGCATTCTTCTCCTTAGTTAGCAGGGAGAGTGGGGGCATCAAGATGAGGCTGACCCTGTTCTCCAGGGACTAAAGGAAGGAGTCCCACAGCAATTTGTTTCCGATGCAGACACTGGAGAGTATTGGAAACAGCGGGGGTGGGACCACTTCCAAGAACAGCAGATACTGAGCCTGATCTTGAGGCCCTAACATTTTTTTAGTTCGTTTCATTAAAAACGGCTGCTGTTCCAGAAGGACACGTGCCCACACCAATCATCTTCCGGAGTGAACTTCCCCAGTCCGGAACCTATTTTCCAACTTGAACCCAAACATCAACAGAAACAAAAGGTAGGTTTGGAACCTTCATACAGTGCACAGTTAATAAATCGTTAATAGCGCTATCCGGCTATGAGGTGCTTCTTTTAATTAATATTCATGGAAAAAACTAGGTTGTCCCTCCCTATCCAGAAGTTCCTAGGAGTGAGTGCAAATAGTTTCGGGGTGCCATGAAGAGTCCAGGTGCAGGTACTTCATTCAGGGTGGAACATCACCTTTGGATTCTCGGCAAGCTTCGCCCTTCTGCTCCCAGCTGGCTGCAGCCATCGGCTTTCTCCATTTCTTCCCCAACCCCCACACTTTCCCCTCTGTCACCAGTTCAGCCTGTCTGACCCAGAGTTCCTCTGCGAATCGCCTCGAACCTGAGGGTCCCTTCTACTGCTGGGGTCTCCACCTGCACCCGGAGAAGAGGCGGCGCCCGGGGGCTCTCTCAAGTGGACGCTGACGGTGGCAGACGGCGAGTCACGTGAGTCTGTGGAGGCGGAGCGTGGCAGGCTGAGGGGGTGGAGAAACAAAGCCCCCAGCTGTCAGCAGAGGAAGGAGGCGACAACGCCGGAGCAGGTGAGTCAAGTATGTTCAAAGCTGTACAGCCCTGGCGCACCCGGACACCCTTTGCCCTGGGTCGGTCCCTCCCAGGCCCGGGATTGGCCGCGCCTCCCCCACCCACGCCCGGGTCTGCGATCTGCAGATCTAGGAGCAAGAGGATCGCGGGGTCTCCGAGCGCATCAAGAAGTTATCCAGCCAGGGTTGTGCACGCAGCCGCGTTCTTACGGGTCGCCCCTCTTCTTTTGTGGGGGGAACTAAAGCGGTATACCCCAAGAAAGGGAAGGGAGTCAGAGCTGCCACGCTGGCAGACACAAAGTGCACTGGCCGAAGAGTGACGGCTGGGGCCGGCCACCTAGGAGAGGGGGATTTGTAGGTGCGCGCCCTCGGAGCTCGGCCCCTCCTGCTGGAGCACTGGGACGCGGGGGCTGAGAGCCCTCGGAGCTCCTAAAAGCTGCGCACTTTGGGGCAGACCAATAAGTGTACCGCGCGCACCCAGTCTGGAGTACATTCCGGGATCCCCAAGCTCTGCTGCTGCCCCTGGTGCGTCCTGTCCGGGGACAAGGGTCGCACGGCTGGGAACGATCACTCGTGGATCCGGGACTCGGGAATCAGATGGGTGTGTGGCAAGAAAAACGGGTTGCTAGTCTGAGCCTGAGAGGTTCTCCAGGGAGCACCGGGCGGGGCAGGGGGTGCTACTTGAAGACCACCACTCTGGTTTAGAGGGGCATTCTTCAGTCTCTCTTCCAAGTGCCCCGCCTAAGCCAAAGTGCTACCACAAAGGCCCAGAAAGCTGGGTGGGTTTAAAAAGACACCACCCCACCCCACCCCGCGCGCGCGTCTCTGAACCTGAGCCTTAGGCAACGCGGACTTCCGACCAGAAAGAGCAAAAGGGTCTGGTCACCACTTAAGTCACTTTGCCAAGCCAGTGTCAAAGGAGCAGCTGCAGCCTCGGAGGAGTGGAGCTGCGGTCATTGGGCCAGGAGCCTTTGTCTTAACCTCCAGTCCCCCTTCTGCTAGCCCTCGTTGGGTCAGTGGCGCGCTGAGTAGTTAATATTCCTAACATTAATTGTCCTTTCACCTCAACACCAGACAGCCCTGCTGTCCCTCCTTCCACCCCCTACCCCCTCAGCGGGTGTTCATTACTTGCTCAGGTCCAATCCTTTCCTGGGGAAAAAAAAAAAAAAAAAGTAAATAAAGTAGTCCAGACCCACAGGGCAATAAGATGACCGCCAAAAGCACTACAGAGGGGTCAACGCAAAAAATCAAGGGTTAATTAAGTAAATGCCCACACCCGCGCGTGCCTCCAAGCAAGGAGTGGAGGAGTCGCAAGAACTTTCTGGATTAGCTTAAGTATCTGCCCCGCGGCCGCGGCGCAAGGCGGAGGCTCTGCCCTAGCTCAGGTACAAGGGAAGTCCAGTCTTGAGTGAGTTCTGAGCAGGACCGGCTTCTGAACTGAGAGGACAGCAGGGGTGCGACTTGGCGGAACCGGATGGACGCTAGGATGAAACAGATCAGAGATCAAAGGGGGATCAGAAAGGTAATGTGGGGTGCTTCTCTAGGACACCGGGCAAAGTGGAGGCGGTGGTGGGGAAGTGCTCGTCCAGGCAGGTAACTCCTGGCTTTGCTGTCACGTTTGTCTCCCATGCTAACACATCAGTTAGGAAAGTGTCATGTGTCATTGATTTCTGAAACAGGATGGTCTTTAGGTAAGCTTCCTTTGCGCGGGCTCCGATCGCGAAACTTGGCTTCATCATGGACTCACCTGTGGAGATTTGGGGAGTCCTGATATCTACTTCCCGTCCTAAACCATTTAAGTCAGATTGTTGGTGGGGAGGGGGCAAAAACTCGGGTATTAAACAAAACTTCCAGATGATTCCACTGGATAGCAGATCGAGAACCACTTCGATAATAGCAACGTGGTTGTGTTACGAGATATCACTTTAACTACTTGAGTGGGCGAGACAGAGAGAGAGAGAGAGAGAGAGAGAGAGAATACTGAAACTGGGGTGCCAGTGACTCACACCATACGGCAAATGATTGTCATCTGGAGGCCTGAAAAATTGTGGCATCTCTTTACAACAATCTTTTCCCCTTCCCTGCCTGGGGTCTGGTTATTGCTGGATGTTTTGAAGTTCGCTGTCCATGCCTAGTGTGTGCATTGTTGTTAAGGGAAACGGAGAGAAACTTTCATTCTGGCCATGACGTACATGGAGCAGGCAGCAGGGAAACCCAGCAGAAATAAACTGTGAGCAGCTGGGTGAGTCAGCAGACTGCACTCCAATGCCCGCCCTGTGAATGGGAAGTAATTATGGCTTGTTATTGACACACACACACACACACACACACACACGCCACTCCTCTGAAAGCACATCTTAATATCTGATCAGGACGTTTGCTTGCCAGAACCTCTGCCCCGTCTACCTGCTTTGAATAATACTAGCTGCTGTTAGCAGGGAAACCAAAGCCAGCTAGACAGCTTGTCCTTTGTGGAAGGAATATTTCAAAAGGCTTCTGGGAAAGTGTAAAGTAGTTTGGGTTATCTCGGTTATAAAAAAGAGAGGAGGGCCGGGCAGGGGTGGCGCACGCCTTTAATCCCAGCACACACGAGGCAAAGGCAAGCAGATCTCTGTGACTGTGAGTCCAACCTGGTCTACAGAGCAAGTTCCAGCCAGGGCTACATACAGAAACCCTGTCTTGAAAAACAAAACAACACAACAACGACAACCAAAGAAGGAGGGAATTTGTAGTATTATGCTTTTAATTTTTTAAAAAGGCCATATGCTATTTGATGAAGTCAATGAGCTGTTTAAAGAGAAATTAGGTGCTATTTCATTTGAAATTCTGTTTGCTATTGATCAAAACTCTGTGTGTGTGTGTGTGTGTGTGTGTGTGTGTGTGTGTGTGTGTGTGTACTGCCTGAGTACACCTATGCACACTGGGGATGGAACCTAGAGTCTTGTGTGCCAGGCAAGTGTTCTTCTGCCAAGCTGCATGCATCCTGAGCTCACGGGTGTTTAACTTAAAGAGATCAGACTCCAAGTCAAAAAAGACAAGTTCCACACTTCTCTCTCATACGCAAACCTTAGGCTTTAATTTTTATGTGTGTGTGTATATATGGAGGGCAGAGACATGAAACTAGAAAGGTGAACATGAGAGAAAGAACATCTTAAGAGGGGAAGGGAAAAGTGTAGTAGACTACATGGGACGTGAAGACAAGAGGACTTCGTGGGAGGGGGAAGTGTAGAAGATGCTACAGGAGGGGCAGGAGGAAGATGGGATCGAGGACCAAAAAAAAGTATTATGAAAATACCATAATAAAACCCATTATTTTGTAAACTAAAGAAAAACCATATGCTAATTTTTTAAAAGATGACAAAAAAATAACAGTCTTAAACCAGGTTCACATCTATAATCCCAGCACTCTGAAGGCTGAGGCAGGCGGATTGCCATGGAGTTTGAGACAAGCCTAGGTTTTCCAGCAAGGACCTGTCTATGAACAAAGAAGAACTAGCACCCGAAGGGTGACTCGCGGATGTTTTACTAAAATATATTGACTTCCCTCTTTTTTGTTGCTCTTAACTTTCCTTTCCTTGCTGCCATTGTGCCCCTTACGTCACCGTCATTACGCCATTGACCAAATGCTTCCTTTCCCTCTCCTCGGTTTTCAGGGGCCCAGCCTTGCCTGGCACTCCGCAGGCACTCGGCACGGTCAGATGGTGCCCTCCACCCGAACCTGGGTCACAGTGCCTGTGTGTACACCGCTTGGGACTGTGTTTTCTCGTTTAGGACGACAGGCCTTCCAGTGCGGTCACAGTGCTCTTTGTCTGAGAAATCGGCACATTTGTTCTCGAGACGATCAGAACGTGAAGGGCAGCAACACCTCCTAAGTGCATTCAGCTTCATCAGTTTCCAAGATGCATAATCTCGATATGGAGGAGCCAAGAGTCTCTTGTGGCTCTGAAATGCTACCAAATGAATAATATGGGTCATATTAGCTAATATGTTCCATAAGCTCCCTTAAGTACCAGTGTGCTTTGGGCATAGCTAATAATTGTTATAACATTGGAATCACACTCGTGGATCAAAGAATTATTTTACAGAAGTTCACCCTCTTAGAAAAAGAGCATGTCCAACTGTGAGTGCCTTAAGGAATTCATTAATCGAAGAGTCAGTTCAGAATTGGTTAATAGTTAACCTGCTTTTATTCTCGTCTGCCTACTGATTGTAAAATAGAACGTGAATGTAGCTTAGTGGGAAAGCACTGCTTAGCATATTCAAGGACCTGGGTTCAGTGACCAACACACACACACATACACACACACACACACACACACATATACACACACACACAAGAACAAATGCATTTCAGTATATTTAAAAGTAGGGATTCCTATTTATTTTGACAGGTACTATGCCAAGTAAATAAAGGCTTATAGGATTTTCCCAAAGCTGATATGATGCAAATAGATCCATTCTTATTTTCTGAAATTTTTACTATCTTTTGGGGAGCTATAAGAAATTGAGGGGTTGAAGTGCTTAAGGATCTATGCAGAAGATGGGGTGGAAAGATTCCAAGAGCCAGAGGTGGTGTACCTACTAAAGGAAGCAGCATTTTCCAAACACAACTGGGTAGACGCCCAGATGAACTCAGAGACTGACAGCACCGACATCTCCCGCACTGGCTCACGCCAGACCAAAGTCCCAGCACAGAGAAGAGGAAGTGGGCACAAAGTCTGACCCCTAGCTGAAAAGCTGTTTGAAAGTGATAACTGCTGGGAGAGGAATAACTCCATTTTCTTCAAGTGACACTGGGGATATCAATCGTATCCCCGGGCAGTCTGCGTGCGCATGCGCAGGAGTAGTTGTCCAGCAGAAAAGGGACTCAGGCTTTCGGCCATTTTGCTCTTTTGCTGGCTTTGTTTTTTGGTTTTGTTTTGTTTGGTTTTTGACAGGGTTTCTCTGTGTAGTCCTGGCTGTCCCGAGACTCACTCTGTAGAATAGACTGGCCTCAAACTCATCGAGAGCCACCTGCCTCTGCCCT